CCATTAAGGTGTTACATGGCAACAACAGTCTTTGACGAGTAATTACAGGCTTGTTAGCTATGGTTGCAACAAACATTTCGCTTTCTTTTCAGCTTCTTCTTCTTCCTCCTCTGCTGAGGGTGCACAGCAATCTTTTTTTTTTTTGGTACGTGGGAAACATTTTTTATTTTTTTCTTTTTTTTTTGTAAGCCTTGTCCCTGCACATGAACATCATTTATGAGTGTTTGCGCGAAAACAAAAGGATCATAGGATCATCATCAGGCAGAGGAATCGAAACAGCAAAAAAAAAAAAAAGCAAAAGATCAGTTGTCAATCAAGGCAAATGTAAATTTCCATATCGACCCCACAGAGGGTGCAGCCCAAAAATATTGCATGGCTAATTACTTTATTCGTTGCATCCGAATCCCATCCCATCCCATCCCATTCCATTCCAGTACTCATGTAAATGTCACGGCTGACATCATATCGACATCGTATGCAACATTGTATATATTGTCTATTGTAGCATCCCCACAAACACATTGTATAATTTAAATTTAATATACTTTTAATGACCAATTGGCAGCACAGAGGAACTCTGTGTAGATCGAAGCCAATTCAAACGTTGATAATCAAATACGACAAAGAGCTGGAAACTTTGTAAAGAGTTTATTTTTTTAATGAAAAATGCTATCTTCTTGTATTAAATATCCTTTCACTTGCATAAAATATGCGCTTAACTGAAAAGTAATATTAAATTCCGATAATAAAAAACCTGATTTTACGAAACTTGAATAGAAATAGAAATAATAGGAGAGAAAAGAAGAAAATAATGAGAGAAACATGTCATAAATCATACATATAAAGGAAGAATTGATATTTGTATTTTGGGTATTTGGGGTTATTTAGGTTGAAAACAAATAAGGATAATGATGATCAATAAAGTGCCCAGTGCAACAGCAGCAACACAACGTAATTCACTTAATTAGGCGATACCATTTAAAAAACAATTGAACGAGTCCTGGCGAGGGCAGAGGCAGTGGCAGAGGCGGAGGCGGAGGGGGAGGGGGAGATGTGTATGATTACACCTACAACAACAGCAACAACAACAACCAGTTCGATTCGTGCAGCAAAAATGTGAAATTAAGAAATTACAACAATGTTTTGGGTAAGCGTAGTCAGGGGGTAGGGGCAGAGGTAGGGGCAGGGGTGGGCAGAACAGGGCAGGGTAGGGGACACAATTAGAATGTTTACCAATCGTCCCAAATAGTGGAAACAGCCGAGAAACGCAACTTATCGTAAACTGTCGCACTCCATATCAATAACACGGCACACAAGCCAACAGCTAGAGGGAGGAATAAATAAATAAAAATAAAAAATAAAAAAAGAAATAAAAAAAAGAGAAAAAGAGAAAAAGAAGAGCAGCATTAAGCGAGAAGCAGCGTCAGCTGGACACAGCGCTCGATCCGTGTAGAGCAATTTAATGCAATTAGTGCGATATGCGACGATGCCGACCGACAGCCGGACGACACATCAGCTTTATATATACACATATACATATATAGATATGTATATATATACAGATAGTACACAGATAGAGACGAGTGCACAGGTCTGGCTGTAATTACATAATTACATGGCGATCGAGGCCATGCAACGCGTGTCGAAGGGATCTATCGTTGTGGGTGCAACATCAACATGCCACATGCCTGTCAAGCATTTGCTTATGCAACACACAACACAGCGATGCATGTCAATCCACCCATTGTCCGCATACATATATATATATATATATATATATAAATGCACATTCACTTGACTGATTAATGATATTCGAGGTAATCCTATTTGGCGGACTTTGGCTCCATGCAAAAATCAACTCTGCTAAATGCAATCAACCGCAATAATCGCCAAAACTGAAAATCCCAAATTAAAAAAACAAAAATCCACCAAAAAAAAAGGAAGAAAAAAAATTGCATTAGCTGCTAATGCGTTTGAGCGTTTGAGCCTCAACCACCACCAAAGACATAAACGCCCCAAGCTAATCCCAGTTTTTCCCATAGTTAGACCCTGTCGGATGTAGGATGATCATGACGATGACGACGTGTTAATTTCATTTGATTGACATGTGTCCATGCGACTGCTCCTATATAGATACATATATATATATTTTTTAAAGTATGAACTCAAAAAAAGAGAAAGAAAACAAAAAGAATCCAAATCAAAATAAGTACATAATGAAATCCCAATTTTTGTTGGCACGGGTCCCATGTGACAATTCTGTCATGTAAAAATCTTAACTCATCAACATGTTGTCCGCTGTCCGCTGTCTGTTGTCTGTTGTCTGATATCCCTATCCCAGTCCCAGTCCCTGTCCCAGTGCCAGTCCCAAGCGATCTGTTCTGATCTAGTTGTGTCCCATTTGGCCAAGCAGAACGCTTGTTATTGCGACAGTTTCCTCGCTGTCAAATTGTGTTTTTCTCATTTTTTTTTTTGTTTTGTGTGTCTTCCGCTTGGCTTTGGCATGTTACAAGTTGGGATGACACCGATCGGGATGTAACTGTCATAAGACATTGGCCCGACTGTCTGAGCTTGTCTAGCTCAATGCTTAAATTACTTCAAACCGAGCAGGATGATTCAGTGTTTGCCCAGCAGAAGAACCGGTTAATATTGATCTTAAACTAATCTTAAAACATCAATTTAATACCAACAAAAACTAATCACAAGAATGGTCCTAAGTAATCTTAGAACTTAATTATGTATACATTTTGACTAGAGACATTAAAGATATCAACTGATCTCAAGTACTTAAAGTTTATATAATATTTGATTCTGTTCATTATAATCCCCAAAATCGTATGCTGCTTTGAACCCAAAGTTTCAGCTCTTGATTGTTATTAATCATAAGTCTCAAATTTGTTATTAGTTCAACTTAAAACTGATTACAAGTCTTATTTTCTGCAACCAACTGTTGGAATCTTAAGTATTAAAATCAGTTGTGTACAACAACAACAAGAACAAGAACATATCCAAGACAACAAAAGAAGTTCGACGATATGCACACCGGGTAAGGGTTAAGTCCAACCTTTGCCCAATCCGTCGATATTTGTAATTTAAGAAGTTGCAATTCATGAGGACGTTTAAGATTCGTAAATTACTCTACGCGATATGCGCGAAAATTGTGCAATGAAGCTAAAAAACAATTTCAAAAAAAAAAGAAATTACATTTTGCATGGCTCAATCTTTGATATCGTTTTTGGGCTATTCGGGCCCTTTCTCCCCCCGGCCCCTCGGGGCGAAAGGTAGCGAAATGCGCTGCATTTTAATCGCTCGTCCTTGCAGCAGGCTGCTCCTTTTGCAGCCTTTCGCTGCTGTCGTGTCATAAGTGTGTGAAAAATTGATAGACTTGTCATTGCCCAGCCCAGTGGGGTGGATTAGACGACATCGTCCCATCGTCTCGTCTCGTCTCGTCCTCGTTCTCGTCCTCATCTCCTGTGCTGTCCGCCTCTTTGTATGCCGTCGCACATAAAATTGCATAAATGTCAGGCGACTGTCATGACAACCTCTTGTAAACGCCCCATAATTTTTATTATTAATGGCATCAGCGCATTATTATCGAACACCCCAAATGGCCCATCAATATTTTCAAGTTTTTATTGGAAAGAGTTGCCATCAGCTCAGCGGGTTAACTGCTCTGCTCTCGCAGCAATTTTAGCAACTTTCAATTTGTGTTCCTTGCTAAGCCTTCTCGTCTAGTTTAGTAATTCTTTTTTGGCAACTTTCTTTTGTTATTTAAGAAGATATTTTATTTGTTTATCTGTTTCAGCACGTTTACAATGAGTGTCTTTACTTGTTTTAGAGCTGCTACTTGCTCAAATCTGAACTTTGCTTGTCTTCTATCTTTAAAAAGAGTTTCGTTCAAATAGACTCTCGACGAGAGAGGCTAGAATTGTATAAATCGGTCCTTAATCCAGACAATATTTAAGAAATTAAACGAATAATTTAGAAATAAGAGCTTTCATATTGTCTTTTCTGATAAATCTTTTTGAGTTTCATTCGGGCTCGGTTCCATCAATTTTTTTCAATCTTTTCCTTAAAGATTCTCTGTCGAAATGTTCATCGAATATAATTTATTCTTATGATATTGTGCTATTAGCCACTGCAGTGGTTTCTACGACCCATTTTATTAATCATTTGTAATTTAGTTAGAAACAATAAATAATATCAATAATAAAAAGAAACTGAAAATCAATTCTCGTAAACATACATTTTCAATAAGCGCAATTCTGCGAAACAATGCGTAAAAGGTGATGATATTTTATTTTTTAAATATATGCCACTTTTCCTTCAAATTAAAAATAGATATTTTCAAAAGAATTATGGGGAATACACCAATATATATGAGAACTCAACATTTCAAAAAATTGCAATAATAATGGTATGTTTTGTGATTCGTAACAAAAAATTACGTATATTTTTTTAAAAGTGCATACATGCATGCAACCATGCCAAAATGAGCACGCATATCACCAGTGACACACATTTGGTTGCTGTATTGGCTAAGTTGTTTCATGCCAAAATGTGTGGCATACTTTTAGGCATACCATTTGGGCATTTGCAATTGATCATTGCAATTCTAACGCGGCATATTTCTCGGAAATTTGCAAGGGCATGGCTGAGAAAAAGAGCACATAGCTTGACTATATTAAGGAATCTATGGACATCTCTTGGACCACAGGTTGTCCTAGGCCAGCAAATAAGAGTACGATAAAGGCTAATTGTTTTTCAAACCAGAGAAATAAGAAAATTGCTTATAACTCTGCCACATCCGTTCAGAACCTGATAAATTTAGTGTCAAGGAGCAGTAGAAATCAGAAGTAGAATCGGAAACCTTGAAAAGTATTGCCTTCTTCTGGGAGTCATAGATGAAAGCAGTCCTGGTAAGCAGTGCACTGCTTGCTATGTTTGAGCCGCATAAATTTAAGCATAATAATTTGATGTAAAATAATAAAAGTCGAAGGTTTAATATCAATATTAAGTGTTTTTATTTGTTGTTTAATAAGTAAAATCATTTATCGTTTTTAACTTGTATGTAGTTCTCTCCTCGCTTATTGCTCATTTTCCATCTTACTTAACATCTAGTACATAAATAATTTAGGTCTTACTTAACTATAAATTGTTTTAATCGTAGCCGGCTTGCGGAACTCTTTCACAGAAAACGGGACACATTTTGAAATGCAAATAAAAAATACTTTTGGATAATTTCAATTGATTAGTTGAATCGAAACAAAGCTTTACAATTGCCTAGCAAATTGTTTACAATCATTTTATATGTTACAAATAATTTAATTTAATTTCACACTGCTCTTCGTTCGAATACAGAAATAGCGAAAAAAAAAAAATACAAAACAAAAAAAAACAATAGGGGAAACGAAAGACTGAGTATAATTCTACGAAAATACAAAACACACCGGATAAGTTCTCGCTACACATATTTGCTTTGGGCCAACCAGTTGTTAGGAGTTATTTGTGGTGAAAAACAACAAAAAAAAATTACACTGCTTAAATGGTAAGAGTTGTAAAAGTAGTTCGTGTAAAAGTAATGCTAAACCAGTATAATAAGAAAGCACTTGAATTTCTCTAATGACAAAAGGCAACTTGGTGTTCATTTGATTTCTATGTCACATATAAAAGCGGCCCATCAGTTTCTTAATATTCATTCATTCATCTATGCTCCTCCTTCCTGCTTCCTGCTTCTTGCTTCCTCCTCACATCCAACAAAGTTTGGATGCCATCCAGACTTAACCGCTGCAAGAACACAAAATTTGATAAGTAAACATTAAGCTCAAATTTGAGTTTGTCAAAACAGATACTATCATATAAAGAAAGCAGCGGGTTAAGTGGGCGTGTGAGTGGGTGGGTGGGTGGTTGGGTGTGTGAGTGGGTGTGTGTGTGTGTGATTTGCAAAGAGCACGAAAAAAAACTATCAACATCAACAAGTAAGCATGATGAGAGTGAGAAACCATCAGAAATGATCAGCGTTAGGCAGAGAGAGCGAGAGCGAGAGCGAGAGAGAGAGAGAGATAGACTCGAGTAGGGGTAGTCAGTCAGGTGGTAAAAATCATCCGAGCACCAGTTGAGAAACAGATTTGTTGGGACACACACATTTTTAGCGACAGACAAATGCACATTTCTTACTCTTTTGTTTCTCTGCTGTAGTTGCTGTTGTTGATGTGGTTGTTGTTGTTGTGGTTGTTGCTGGTAGTGTGGTTTTTATTATTATTATTGCTGCTGTTGTTGTTGTTGTAGTTGTTGCTGCCGCTGATGCTGCTGCTGAATGATATCTCTCGCAATAGTGTTGGTTCTTGGTCTTTTTTAGCTGTTGTATTTTTGAGTGCATATATTGTATTGCTGTTGCTTGTTGTTTGTTGTTGTTGTTTGTTGTTGTTGTTTGTTGTTGTTGTATGTTGTTGTTGTTGTTGTTGTTAAGTGTGCGTGCAATTACATGCGCAAAATTCACAGCACTTACTTTAAAAAGTCATTCATATTGATGTAATTTTTATAACTAAATAAAGAGAAATACATAAATGTATATATTGTTGTATGTTGTTGTTGTTGTTGTTGCATAAATAAGAAACAAAAAACAAAAACAAAATAAAAATTAGAATGTTAGACACAATGCAATTGGTGATAAACATGCGACTTGGATGGGACCTAAAGTGCGACGTTACGAATAACAGCGCAAGACAAACACAAACAAGAACAGACAGAGATAGAAATAGAGATAGAGGAAGAAGGAGAGGGAGCAGTAGACGGAGAGTGACAGGATTGGAGAGGATTGGATTAGATAGATAGGGATAGATGGGTAGATTGGGGAGTTGACTACCTTTTGGCCGATGTGGTGCGCGAATAGGGATTCTGCAAGATCTTCGGATGCGTTTCCATCACGCGCAACAGCAAATTGTCCAGATAGTCCTCCAGCTCCTTGACGCGCTGGCGTTGCAGCAACGCCTCATTCTCCATTCCATTGGCAATCAGCATCAGCTCCTAAAACAGACAGAGAGTGTGTTAGGCAAGTCGATGGAAATGAAATGGCAACAGCAACTTTGGGCGCTTACCTCCCGGGATTTGCCCTCGTATTTTTTGGACAACTGTGCAGAGATCTCGGAGCGACGTTCCGCATGCGAACCGGACTTCTCGTGGCCAATGATGATGCGCTCCGTGGATTTGGGACTGGGCGAATTGCTATCCGTATCGTTCTGTTTATCTGTGGACATCAAAAGTTGATTACAATCGATGATCGATTAACAACACACAAAATACGATTACTACAGAAGAGGACGCGACAGATGCATACAATGAGCTGAGAACTGATTTCCTTTCAATTGAAAGTTATTCAACGAAACAAACTTTCCTAATTATTGATTTATTTATTTATAGAAATGCTATTTAATATTAAAATCAAAACTGAATCAAAATAAATTGTTGCTGTTCAAAGCAATTCAAACTGCAATTGCAAAAATAAAAGAGTTTCAATTAAGGTGCACAGGACAGAGACAGAGAGAGAGTGAGAGTGATGTAGTGTAAGAGAAAGAAAGACAGAGAGAGAGACAGAGAGAGAGAGAGAGAGAGAGAAAGAGAGGGCGCTTTAATGCGAGAACAAAAGTAGAACGCTTTCAAATTAGGAAAGTGACGCATTAGATGACAGCTCGGATTTGGAAAATAGCTTGATTCGATTGGATCTGCCAGCGTTTCACAACACTGTGCACACACACACACACACACACGCACACACGCACACACACATGCCGCACTCCCCGCACGTGCCGCCGCATTAGAGATACGAGAGAGACTGAGGTGAATTAAGTTGACTTGAGTTGAGTTCAGTTTAGGTGGATTAGTGGCTGGACTGTGTTGGCTAGGTATTTTTTTGCTGGGTTTCTTCCTATTTGTATCTGGATTTGATCTGTATTTTGTATGCTGTCTGCTTGTATATTCTTGTATTTTCTGTATTCGTTTTGTTTCGTTTCGTTTCATTTCGTTTTGTTGGGGATACAACAACAGGAGAGCTGCTCACCTCGCTTATTGCCGTATTTAAATTTGCCCAATCGCTTCTCCCAGCGCTCGCCGCTGCCGCTGCCGCCGCCAATGCTGCTAAACTCCTTCGGCGATTGCTCGGGCGTTAGGAAGTTGTGCTCAATGCTTGGATCTACATCATCAGTGGCAGCAGCAGCCACAACCGCCAGCGGAATTGCAACGGGTGCGATAAGTTGCTGATCCTCCACTGCTGGCTGCGACTGTTTCTGTGTCTGTGTCTGTGTCTGTTGCTCCTCCAGCGAGCTGGAGCGCTTGGCAAAGCTCAAGAGTCTTTGATCCTCCTCGCGGCGCTTGGCATCGCGACGCCGCTGCTCCTCCAGCTCCCGCTGCAGCTGCAACTCCTGCTGCATGGCCGCCTCCTCCTCGCGCAGCCGCTGCTCATTCAAACGCAGCTCGGCCTCCAGCCGGGCATCCTCCTCGGCGCGCAGCTGACGTGCTGCCTCCGCCTCCGCCTCTGCCTCTGCTACGGCCTCGGCTTTGGCCACGCCCGGTTGCTGTTCGCCATTTAGCAAACGCGGCTGCGGCTTTGGTGCTACATGCTGCTCTAGCTGTGAATTCGATTTGGATATGGATCTGGAGAGCGGCTCGTCCGCAAAGATGGCGGTGCTATTGCGTTGCTCGAACTTGGCGAAGCTCGCATTGAACGAGTCAAAGTTGCGTGTGTTCACGTCCGGCGAGAACAGCGACGAAGAAGAGCTGACGCTCTCCCTCTGCTGCTGCTGGTTGTTGTTGTTGTTGGTGTTGCTCCCCTTAGGCAAGGGCGGCGGTGACACTTGCACCTCCACCTGCACTGGCTGCTGCTGCTGCTTCTGCGTCTGCACCCGCTCCCGCTCCAGCTCCTGCTCGTCCTCACTGTCTGACGAACTGGAGGAGGAGGAGGAGATGGATGCGGTGAAGGAGGCGCTGGCAGCTGGCAGCGGTGGCGGCTCCTCGCTGGTTGCTGGCAACGGCACGCGCGTCTCCCAGCTGCGACGCTTGAGGGAATCGCTGCTGCTGATGCCCATCTCTAAATATTTACCGCCGCCATGCAATTTCGATTCCCATTCATCGGCCACTGGTGGTTCCACTTGCCCCTGCCCCTGCCCCAGTCCCGCTCCCAGTCCCAGTCCCAGTCCCAATCCCTGACCTTGCCCCTGGCCCTGACCCTGGCCCTGCTCTTGCCCTTGTCCCTGGCCACGTCCATCACCTTGACCATCCCCCTCGCGTTCACGCTCCATTTGCAGCTCTTGTGGCGACGACGGGGTGCGCGGCGGCTTCGAGGGAGGCGGCAGAGTGCGTGCACGAACGCTGAAATCGAGCTCAAGCTGTTCCATTTCGGCAACGATCGATTTGGCATCCTCATCGAGTGTCTCTTGCAATTTGGGCTTACCTCCGTTCAGTTTACCCTTGGGGCCACCACCATTGCCATTGATCAGCAGCGGCGATGGAACGCGCGGCGCAAAATGGCCCGAGGATGAGGATGTGAGCGCTCCCGGTGGCTGCAGACCCGATCGCTGTATGTTCAGTGAGCTGCCGGAGCTCTTGTGCGACAGATTGTCGAACACAAACTCATCCTCGTCCTCGCTGATGACGCCGGGATCGGCTTCGCCGGCGCGCTGGCCACGCCTACGACCACTACCGCCACCGATGACGCCCAAACCGGTGGAGCTGTTCGGTGTACCGATGCTGGCAAAGGAGCCGCTAAACGAGCCACTGTCATCGCCATCCTTGTCGTGCTTCTTCTTGCTGCGTATGTGCAACTTGGAGCTAAGCGAACCGGCCAGCTTCTTAATGCTCTTCCGCTTCTCGCCCTGGCCAATTGAGAGCAGACTGCCGCCAACAGAGCTGGCCAGCTGGCCAATGGAAGACTTGTGCTTGTCCTTCTTGCTTAGATCGGTCAGCGAACCCGATTTGACAACGAATGCGATGCGCACCTCCAATTCGCCGCGCTCCTTGTTCTTCTTCTCCTTGCCCGGCTTGCTCTCCAGCTTGCACCACTTGGCCCGAGGACGATCATAGACGTCCATGTCCTTCAGTGGCAGCGTCGCCTGCCCAAGGAACTCATCGATGCCCAGATTGTTGCGATGCAGGCATGTTAGCGTCAGCTCCGCTCGATTGCCCTGATCCGGAATTTTACTAAACAAAAAACAAAACAGAAATTATGATGTGATCCTTACGATATCTATATTTATATATATATATATATATATATATATATATAATATCTAGATACTCACAGTTCGCACTCCTCGTTCCAGTTGACGCTATTCTCGGCCTTGTCCTTGACCGATGTCTGGTACTTCTCCTTGCCCAGTGCAATTGTGACAAAGCAATTGTTGGTGCCATTCTTGCCCTTGGTCAGAAGACCTCGCGCACGCTGAACTATATGACAAAGAGAAAGAGAGAGAGAGAGAGAGAGAGAGAGAGAGAGAGAGAGAGAGAGAGAGAAAAACGATTAAGAACAAGGGAACAATAACAATAACAAAGAGTTCTCAAAATTTAAACTGCCAGTTAAGCTAAAGTTAAATATGAAAAATCATTATTTATTTATATATTACGAGAGGCAGCTCCCAGTGATGTAAGTGAGCGACGAGATAGTTGATTATTTATTTATTTATTGAAGAAGCAAACACTTTTATGATCTGGTTAACATTATATCATCATCGCCATTAACTTGAGAACGTGAAAATTGTTTACGATTTTTTTTTTTTTTTGATTTATGGCAAAATGTATAAAATAACCTTGTTGGAAACGAAATGTTGTAATTACTTGAATCAATATCATAAGCTTAAAAATGATTTTGTTTTGACTAAGCTTCGCGAAATAGAAATCCCCGGGAATTTGTTAGAGAAGATGATCATCTGAACAAGTGTAAATAGATTTGTTAACTTTGTCAACATATTTGCTGTTATACATTTCAAGATAATCTCTTGGCTCACGCAACTTAAAATTCATTTATTTACTCAACGACGATGCGTTGTTCATTTCTGCTTTCTGCTGTCAACAGCTGTTGTAAGCCAAAAATAGCGAAGCGAAGCGAACCGGCACCGCAGGGAATGACTTCATTTTGATTTGTCCGTCTTCATTTCCGGCAGCAGCCACCAAATTATCAACATCAACATCAACAACAACAAGAAGACGAAGAAGAAGAAGTAGAAGATTTCGAGTGCGTCCCCAATAATCCAATACAAAAATTCGCAATTCGTTTTTTTTGGGGCGGGTGGAACTGAGTGACTCAGTTTGTTTGCCTTGCCACACAATCTCAGCCGGCGAAAAGCCAGCCAAAAGAGTCGAGTTTCGAGTTTCACTGCTTGAGAGAGCGGCTGGTGACCTCGACTAATCCAAAACTTAAAAACATATATGTATATAATTGTATATATATATATATTGCTATAGCCAAAGCATCCGGCTGATATGGAAACCGCAGAAAATTTAGCTTTTGGCATTGTTGTATTTATTTGCGGTGCGCAGAAAGTCGCAGCATTGTGTTTGGGGGAGATTTGAGACTTGAGAGTGAGTCTCTGGGTCGCTGGGTCGCTGGTTCCAGTCCACTTACATATATGCATAGGCAATTCTCAGCTCTAATTATGCCACACACACACACACACATAAATATTCAGATATCCATAATAAATTCAGCAGGAATACATTACTTTTGGACGAAAATCATCAATTCAAGTAGAAATAGAAGATATATTTATATGAAATGAAATCCAGTTAAATTGTCGCTAAGTAATTATTAATATTTACGATCTTTGAAATCTTTTTAAAGTTCTGATCAATATATACTATTATTATTATTATTACTTTTATTATTTGTATTATTTCGTACGCCGTTTTTTATGTTTTTTATTCTCATCTATTTGAAGAGTGAATTTGAATTGAATTGATGAAAGTATTATGTTGAAAATAGGCAACCATTGATTTGAAGTAAAGTTGCCAAATGAAAATGAATTTATGTATTTGGCAATTATTGTTGAGCAATTCCATTGAATCAATCAATTCAATCAGAAACAGTTTTTGTTTATACTTTTTGAATTAATCGATTCACAACGAACATTGGTCATTGATTATAACACAATTCCAATATGCTTTGCTTTGCTTTGCACATTTTTTGTTAGCGAAACTCAAATTGCGCAAATTTCCGACTCGTAACAACAACAACACCAACAGCAACAGCAACAATTACTTGGCGTAAAGTGAAAAGCGTTCAACAACAAAAACATTTTTATGCACATTTCTTTGGCTTTTTCTTTTTCTCTTTCTTTTTAGCTGTTTGGCTCATTACGAGTGAAAGAAGTGCCTGCTGCCCACTGTGGGCGTCTTAACGCCCAATAATAATTATTATTACATTAACAGTTTGTTTTTTTTGTTGTTGTTTTTTTTGCCAGCTTTTGCAGATCTGCTTTGGAACCCGCATTCATCACTTGCCCGTTTTGTGTACATGTATGTAAACAGAGAGACATACATACATAAATACATACATTGCTTAAGCCAATTTGGGAAGTTTTTGCGACAACATCGCCAGTCAGTCAGCCAAGCTATAAGTGCATATACACCTGTGCGTATATATATAAATTACAAAGTGTATTTATATATATATATATACACACTTTGTATTTAATTGAGGCTAAACACAGCCGGCGAAAAAAGAAAGAAAAAGAAAAAACAGTTAATAGCAATACTAGATGAATGGATAGATGGGCATAGAATAGAACGAATGTCTATGTCTATCAACAAACCGGTTTCATCAGTCGAACAATTCAAGCTGCCGGCCGCAGCACGAGATTGTGATTGTGATCGAGTTCATTTCATTATCTGCTATTTGTAATAAATAATGGCAAATAAGAATTGTGTATTGGAACTCAATGTATCTGTCTAGCAAAACGAAAAAAACGAAATAGAAAGAAAAAAGCTAAAATGCCATCACTGATCACATGCGAAGCAGCCAGGGCTGAGCGATGCGAAACATGCAAATGGCTGCTCACCAAAATAGAAATGGCAAATGGCAAAAGGCATAAGGTAAATGGCAAAATGCTAAAATATGCCAAACTGCCGACAAAAACAAAAACAAAAACAAATACAAAGAGCGGCTGAGAGTGAGCAGCGAAACAGTTAAGCTGCTTCTGCTGTTGTTGTCCGCTTTTGCGTCGGACGTTGGATTTGTTGCTGAACGTGAGCTGGAATTTGTTCATCGTTCGCAATTCGATCATCGATACTTTATATAGAGAGTCGATCGATCGACAAATGTAGTCTGCCCTTTTTTTTTCGTATTTTTTTATTTGCAACTTATACTCTGCTCGTTTCGAACTGTTAATGACGAGCGGTGGGTGGAGGACGGAGGGGGTACGGATGTACGGGAGGGGTTAGCAAACAAAAACTTTCGACACGTAATTGAGTGATTGTCGAGAGCAAACAGAAGCCCAAGCGAGCAGCGCGCTGGCGTCATCAATGAACTGTGTGCGAGACAGACAGAGAAAGAGATATATTGTGTATGTGTGAGTGTGTGTGTGTGTGTAAGAGAGAGCGTGAGATTAAACATTGCGAGCAGGTGAATGCATAGTGGGTAGTCATTGTCTAAAAACCCGCACAAGTCAAGACTCAATCTTCGAGCAATGCTTGTATGTATGTAAATGTAAATGTAAATATGTATGTGTATGTTTATGTGAGTGTATGTATGCATGTGTCTATTTATGTAGGTATGTGTATGCATGTATTAAATAAACGAAATATTTGCATGCAAAAAGCTAACAGCATTTTAGCCTCAACAACTTTTTCTCCCTGCTCACATTCCAGCTTAACAATAAAACAAGAAACCAAGCTTGTGCACGTATATGTGTATGTATGTGTGTGTGTGTGTGTGTGTGTGTGTGTGTGTGTGTGTGTGTGTGTGTGTGTGTGTGTGTGTGTATAAGTGCAGCAGCTATTGGCCAGCTTTGTTGAGGTAAAAGTGTGGGCGGATTTTCTATAAACATTAAAACACATATGGTTTTAAATGAAGTGCAGTGTTTAGAGATAAGTTTAAAGTTCTTTATGCTCCAAAGACCTTTAAAATGGTAGCAAGTAATTATAGATTTCGATATTTCACTGCACAGTCCAAGTTAATATTTCAAGCCATTTGCAAGCCAGGCAAGTGAAAGTCGCAAAAAAAAAACCATTGAACTTTATACACAACAACAAACAACAAAACAAAAATGGTGAATTGTGACATTCTTAAGCATTGAGTAATGGCCATTATCCATTATCTATGAAAATGGAAATGTGAGATCGCTGCAAATGCCAACTTTTCGAGTGACAAAAAACCAAATACAAAAACAAGGTTGGGTTTATGTTTATGGCACAAAGTAATATATTTTTATTTTCTTTTAGTTGTAAGAAAAAGAAGGAAAAAGCATTAGCATGTTGCCACAGAGGCAACAGCAATAGATCAACAATCATCAGTGTGCATAACACGTACATAAAACGAGCAAAGAAATGAATTCCATATTACTCAGTCAACATTTGTGGTTGGTAGTTGGAGTGAGTGATTCAGGCTTATTATAAGCCAGCTATGAGCAATATTTGCTTTGAATATTACACAGCATATAAATATTTTGGCGGTTTGCTGATAACTTTTTGTTGGCCTGCTTCAATAATAAATGTTTGAAATACAAGATTTCAAAATAAACATTACAAGTACACCGTTACAACAACAACAACAACTTGAACTATAGCTACGTGTTATTAGAATTAACTGTTTCCCCCATTATTATAAGAAACAACATTGATGTGTATGCATAAGCATGCCTGGAATTTGAAAGAAATTTGTTATCACAATAAAATTCTTGGCATATCGAAGGCGATAATAATTTATTCGAATTTTGATTTTTGTCACGAGCATAGGTGTATATAAATGTATAAGTTATTGTTTATTGTCAATTATTTGAATGGTTCGCATGACCCGCACACACACACACACACGTACCTTAGTTAATGACAAAGAACAATAGCAACAAGTATTAATGACTCGACTCGGGTATACCCAGTCCCTCACACAAATTATCAACTAGTTGTCGATTATCATATTTGATGATACATAAAAACAAAGATTATCTTCTTATACTTTATCTGATATATATTTCAGATAAATGTTTTTCTCAAACTTCAATTTGCTTGCTTTTCTTTTCTCAATGCACTTATAGAGTGCCAAGTTTATTGGGTAACTGAATTGAATACCTTTTCAGTTAGCTGCAGGGTATCAAAGCAGTAGCAACAATGCAACTGCTGCCGGCAATTGTCGCATTTGTTGACTTTTGTTTGGCACTTTTGGCTTTTCTGCTGGCCTCTGTGTGTTTCGCTTGACGGAGGTCAAAATTGGAGGTTAATTAATTTCAATGAAATCA